TTTCCTCTTAAATTGCAAAAGTAATTTAGTATTGCATTCTTCTGCCATGTGTTTTAACCTTCCATGTCCGTGTTGGGTACATTGTACCCATTCATCAAACTATATCCTTCCTGGTGCAGAACAGAGGCTAGGTCAGTTGGTACCTTATTTTCTATCCCTATTCTGCTGTTATTAAATACATAAAATGGTTAAAGCTGGAATAACTAAAAGTCACCTACTGTATCCAATGGGTCTGAAAAGTCTTGTGCAGCTGTGCATAGTTACACAACAACACTTTTGGCTGCGGATTGGCACAAATTTTGTGAAGTTTCAAACTTCTGGCCTTGAATAACAATATCTGAAGTATCTTCCTCTCCATTTTTCCTAGAATTGGGTTGAAGGACACAGGCCTTGACAGAAGGGGTAAAAATTTCTCCACACAGGAGCAGATATATCAAGAGATTCAATCTGACTGTGGCAGCCTAAAATAAATCTATTTTATAGGAGTAATCTTGGAAGAACAATTTGTCATGAGAGTTTAAATTACTGCCCCTCTGCCCATTTTATAACAAGGACTCCTCCCTATGAAATGGTTCCCTCATTAGGTTTTACCTTGATTACAAATGAAGCAAGGGTCATTAAGCAAATTAATAGGATTGCTGTATCTCCTAATTATTCTTGCACATGATATAAAATAGGTAAGAATTGTGATAGAACCTGGTCAGTACCTATGTAATAGATAAACCAATCTTCCTTCCTTCCTTCCTTCCTTCCTTCCTTCCTTCCTTCCTTCCTTCCTTCCTTCCTTCCTTCCTTCCTTCCTTCCTTCCTTCCTTCCTTTTTAAAGCTTGTCGGAGAGTAGTCTGATTGTTTATCATATTATGTCACATTCATACTATATAATTCCATTTAGTTAAGGATCATGATACTTGTTCTCTTTTTTCTATTTTTTTCCTCAGGGAAAATGATAGATTGAAGTAATTGATAAAAAAAGTTCTAGGCAGAAAGCAAATATGCAAAAATAAGTCCTAGATTTATTTCTCCTGTAGAAAAGCCCTAACCAACTAGAGTCACCAAAATACTAAAGGTTATAATTTTTAGTTGCTGTAATGATGTAACATGAATATGTAGCCTAGGATCTATTAGCACAACATTACTTTATTGGGGAATTTGAGTGTTCAACACATTCAGAGGGAAACACCTAAAAACGCCCAACTAGATAATAATAAAAATTATTCACAATGTTCTCCAAAGGCAACCTATGCCTTTCAGATAAGAATGGATGGAATTTTCATCCATTGATATTAAGAAATAAGTTATGAGAATCAGTTATTCAGCTAGATAATTTTTAGATAATTAAGTTCAGGACATGAAACTTCTTTTGTTATTCCTTTGCAGTTATACATCAAGCAATAATGTTTCAAAAATTGGAAATTATTTCTCACAAACTAAAACTAGTAGGCATTCAATTGTATAAAACATAATCACTTAAATACATTTGGTTTAACACAGGGAAAATCAAGCAAAAAAATTAAAAGGAACAAGACAATGAGGAAAATATTATGTATGTATAAACAGCTCAATTTTAAAAGCAACATTAATACCTTGACCACAGAGAGCAATATTGATCAATCTTTCCATTTCATTGATGAAAAACTACTTTGTAAGCAAAGAGCAAACACACACCATCAATCTAAGATTGTAAATCTGGGTAGCCCTATATTTCCATCACAAAAGTAATTTCTTTTGCTAGCTCCATGTTTAAAAAACCCATTATTCTTCATATAACAATTAATTTGAAAATTTCCTATATTATTCAAAATGTCATTCACATCTTTAAACCATGTTATTCTTCCCCAAACCTTATTAATTAATAGATAGATAGATAGAGAGATATAGATATTAAACCAATGATTGTGGGGCAATACAATATTCCTAAATCCCCCTTCAATCCCTTTACACTTTCAAGGATTATAAAATAGACAACAATTTGAATTCTCTGAAGTGTTTAATAAACATGGGAAAAAACTTTTGTTTAAATAATCTTATTTTATAATCAAAAGATAGTATTCTGTAATCCAATGTTTGTTAATATGAGGTATTCCAACTCTTTACATCAATGTTCTTCCAAATAATTAATATGCACCCTAATAACACACTTTAATTGACTGTAAACAATCATTAAATTTGGAACCATCTCAAACAAATATTAATTAAAGATTATAGATGCTGCTAGTTATACATACAGAAATTTTGATTTTTTAAAAAATGGATAGTTTAAATTTAATCTTATTTACATATTTAAAAAGTTTTCTTTGCCAATGGCTGCTGCAACTAAATGAATTACTGTGATACTGCACAATTCTACAATATTATAAACAAAACTTATATTCAATCAGATTCTGGAGCTTTTATCTCAAAGGAATAGAAAGAATAACATGTAAATGATAAATATATAATTAATTTTTCAGTTCTGCAATTTATCTTATAGCTGCTTTCCTATTTGATTTTTCAAAAAATAAAACAACATATGTATATTAAAAGCTGGTGATTTCTAATTTGAATTGCTTGTTTCATTTCCTCTTATAAAGACTAGGATTGTGAGCGTGAACCAGCAATCACTAAAAGCTGCATCTTTAACTTTCCTTTCTCTTTTTCTTTCTTTATCTGTGTTATTTCTAGTACTTGTTCTACTTTCCTATTTTCTCTTTATTACCTTTTCTTGTTGATCTTTTAACTATGATAAAACTTTCAATTAAAATTATGTCTCTCTATATCTCTATTCATATCTATATGTGAACCAGCAGTGCTCAGGCCAGAGAGAACTCTTGTGTAAATTTTGGGAGGTATCACATAGATTAGGAAAACAGATAAAACAAAAATGTAATGGTCCTGATATTTATAATGTAACTGACACTGCATAATTCCCAGAGGGCCTAAGGACTTTCCTCTGGCACAAGAAAGGTTGAGTCATCTGGAATTATTTATATTCACAGCAAGCTGAAATGTAAATACACCTGTTCTCAGCTACTTACAGAATTCTGATTTCTACGAAGAGTATTAACAGTTTGGAATGGATAGACTTCTTGTGTCTTCTGATTGTTAATTCTAAGTACTGGTAGTCCTTGACTTATCACTTGAGCCCAAAATTTTGGTTGTTAAGTGAGACATTTGTTAAGTGAGTTTGCCCCATTTTACTACTTTCCTTGCCACAAATGTTAAGTGAATCATTGCGGTTGATAAGTTAGTAGCACAGTTGTTAGGTGAATCTGGCTTCCCCATTGATTTTGCTTGTCAAAAGGTTGCAAAAGGTGCTCACATGACCTTGGGACACAGCAATGGTCATAAGTATGAACCAGTTGCCAAGCATCTGTATTTTGATCACATGATCATGGGGATGCTATAAAAGTTGTAAGTGTAAAAAATGGTCATAAGTTACTTTTTTCAGTGCCGTCGTAACTTTGAACCATCACTAAATGAACTGTTGTAAATCGAGGACTATCTGTATTGAGGTGAAGTACATCCCTTTTAGAGTGTTTAACATTTATCTAAATATTTTTTAAAAATTTGGGAAGTTAATTGAAAACATACATCATGACAATATAGTGTGAAGTTCAGACATATAGATGCAATAATAAAGTTTCCCCCCCAAAAAAACTCTTTATATAAATGTTAACATACTTTCCAACTCCCATGTAATGTATTTCAGAGAATGGAATCAGCTCCACACAAGAATGTTTGTGATTTGACAGATCTATTTACAGTTGAAAGCCTCCTAAGATAATAAGACTCTCCTAACAACTGGGTGTTTCGATTTGGTAACTGTTTAGACCAGTGGTTCTCAACCTGTGGGTCGGGACCCCACTTGGGATCGAATGACCATTTCACGGGGGTCGCCAAACAAGGCTGTCTGCCATTTTTTCCCCTTTTCTTTGGCCACGCCCCTGGCACCCGGTGATGTATAAGTGGTTGGGGGTCACCACAACATGGGGAACTGTATTATGGGGTCGCGGCATTAGAAAGGTTGAGAACCACTGGTTTAGACAGTATTTATGCAGAAATCTGGAGCCTTTACTTCCTTTAGTGTGCAATTGCAAAAAGCAATCTTTGGGCATCTAGCTCTTGGACAAATGTCTCAAATAGGACCGAGACCTACCTTTGCATACAGATATGTCTCACTTTGGCACCAAACACTATTATTTCCTCCTACTTTTAACGAGCACAACGGTGTCAAAAATAAATTTAGGAGAACAAGCGCGTGGGCGGGCCACATAATCTAAGTTTCTGATTTAATCCAACTGGTAAAACTCGACCGTAAGAAAAGGGGAAACAAATGGGTTAGCAGGGAAATATTTTAAGGACGTGCCCAGGACCACTCCTGTTCCTCATTCCTATTACCGAAAACGCGCACCGTTAGGCACTTGGTTAACCTGCCAGTTCGGGACTCGCGTGCATATGGCACCATTTCGGTTTCCACGCGTAAAATACTCGCTTTTTTGCTCAGGAAGGCGGCGCACATGTCATTCACACTACCGATCCTCTTCTCCGATCCCTCCTGCAGCAGAACCCCGCGTCCGCCCATTTTCCCCAGCCTATTGCCCATATTTTCCCCTCGGGTCGACATTTTATCTCGCACCGGGAGGCCAAATAGGTGCGCGCGCGCCCGCCCTTTTCCTCTAGCGTCCACCTCTGGAGCGGGAGGGGGGGAGGGATTTTCACGGCGGTTTTCGCTCCCAAAACGCTGGAAGATTTGGCGTCTCCGCACCACGCCCGCTGCCGGATGTATGGCCAGGCGACGGCCAAGTACCTGTTGGCCAGGTACAGTGGAAAAAAAAAAAGAGGGCTCGTGCCCCGAAACGCCTCTCCGCCTCGCCTCCTACTCCAGAGGTGGCACATCTGGTTGCCCACGTGACTCGTCCGGTCCCTTAAATGCCCAGTCTGAGGCGGCAGCTATTACCATAACAACCAGATTGGAGAGGGGCGCCACAGCCCCCAGATAAGGCAGAAATGCCGGGGAGCGTGGGGAGGGGGGAGAGGAAAGCTGGTCGAAGGATTAGGAGACGCCAAGTTTCAGCAGCAGCTGATGGCTAAGCGAAGGCGGGGCCAGACGACATCTCTTCTCTTGCTTTGCCTGGGCAAGGTAAACTAGACGGAGTGAGCCAGTGGGAAGGGAGAGGGGGAAAGAAGGGACGCCGAAAGAGAAGCGGGACTCGCAGCGAGGATTTGATAGGAGAATCCATCTGAATTCCCCACGAGGGAAACAGAGCAGTGCGCCGCAGAAGGCTTGTAGGCTATTAGCCCAGCCGGGAGACCGCTTCTGCCCGTTCGTTTCTCATGCCAGCCAAGGCGATGTGGTCTTAGCTCAAGGAAAAGCACCATTTACGGGGAAGGAAAGACAAAGGGGATCTTAAGCCGAAGGGATAACGAGAGGGAGGAGGAGGAGGAGGAAGGTGCGGAGAGAGGAGGGGAGAGACCAGCCCCTTGCTTCCCTCCATGACCCCCTTCCTTGCACCCAGAGCAGCGGAACAAACCTACCGAGGCAGAGCCTTCCAGTTCTTGTCATCCCCTTAGCCGCTAGCTGCCTTTGATGCCATGGGGAACAGTTTCTCCAGTATTCCAGCAATGCCTAGGGGCAACCCCAACCGCTTCCACAGGGTCCACCAACAACATCTCAAAGGTAAGAGCTTATATTGTCTAGAACTTACCGTATAGCATGAAATGCTGAGCCAAGCCCTTGAAAGTTTGAGCATTGTAAGAGTCCTCAATCAAAGCTTATATTCTATTAAATGTCAGTCTCTAAACACCCGTCCCCCCAATTCTGTAATACATCCCAGGATGGTTAAAATCACCTGAAATCCTTCTCCAATAAGAATCTTTTTTGTTTGCTTTCTCTTTTTTTCTCTTTTTCTCTTGTGATGGGGAATCTTGATTCCTCTGTGCAATCCTGTATCTGGGTACTTGGAAGTCAATGTTCTTCTTTGGAAATAAATCTCATTGGACTTTACTCCTGAGTTATTGCAGGGATATGGGTTTATACCGATATCTCTCCTGACCCTTTCTTCAATTCTGAATTAGGTAAATAACACATTAGGAAGGAGGAATAAAATGTCTTAAGGAACTGGATGAAATACTTCTGAATGAGTGCTGCAGCTGCTGTTGTCTTGGTAACCCCAGAAATGTGTCAGCTTTTTGAGTGGGAGGATCCATTTTAGGAATAACAGATTTTATGTGCATCAATGATAATATCCTGATCACTGTAGTTCAAATTTGATTAATATTACAATCCTTTCTAGTTGGTGTTATGTTTAAAAATCTTCAACTATTGACATAATTCACAATAGATTTGTTTGTAAATCTAAATAACTAGCATATGAATCACCTGAGCTTCTTTTGGTATATTAGACTCTTAAGCATTGCACAAAAATATCCTGCTGGGTCACAAAACATGTAGCCAGATTATATTTATTCCATAAATTGTTTGGGACTAAACTGACCTCAGTTACACAAAATTGATTGATTTCTCAACCATGGGCACTGTCTTATTTTAGAAAGTATTTCCATCTATTTATCTATTTACTTATTTTGTTGAACAATTTAGAATAGTAGATATACATTTCATGCATATTACACTAATTCATTCAGTTTTAAAATAAGGTGGCCAGGGCTGACTGTTAAAAAGATGATTAAAAAAAGAATCCTCTGTCTCCCATGTTTCCACTATTTCAAACTTGTACTTTTGTTGCTTCATTTGTTCACAACATAAAAGATTAGGTATAGGACAATGAAATACAGATTGTCAATGAAAAATTTTTGAAACCAAATTGTCTATTGTTATGAAGCTCCTATGTAGTTTCAAGAGTATTAATAGCTTTTCTCTAGTTCTGCAAATGATGGTCAAAAAGACAATTCCAACATGGACCGAGTCAGAGAGAAATCAGGGCAAGCAATTGCTCTGTTTAAAATTAGGTGTGTAAAAAAGGAGGCAGGCAGAATCTTTCCCAGAACCCCCAGAATCGTTCTCTATCAGTGCTGCAGTAGTTAGGATTCTGTTGTAAACTGCCAAGAAAGATGTATCATTAGAACAAGCTTCTCAGCTGGAAATTATTCTGGGAGAAACTTAAATTATAGAATTCATAAGCTGATTCCACACACCTTCATAATTATTATTAGCTTTTGCTTATGGATCAGAAATGCACCTTGGAATAACCTGACTTGAATTGCTTTCATATGACATGCTAGATTTTTGGATGCATTTCATATCTCTTCCTGATTCCCAGGGTTTCGTTGCTGGGCTGTCACTACTTCTGGCAAACAAACAAAATGGTTCTTGTATAGTTTAAATGCTAAAGGACTGAAACCACTAAAATGTAGTGTTAACTAAGCATTTTTCTTGCCTTGTATTTTAAAAACAAACCTGCCAAGTAACTGCCTGGGACAATATGTGCTTTTTCCATTTTTTTTTTCCAAAAAGAAGATTGCCTTAGGACGATCCTACATTAATATGCAGAATAAACAAGTTTGATTGCATCTGACAGATTCCTGTAAAATGCTTTGGAGGCATAGCAGCACAAAATTATGAATGTGACACTATTTTGTTACACTTGTGGAAATATATTTTAACTGAAGATGTATTTTATTTCAGTTGGTTTTCCTAACAATGTTTCAGATTGGGAGGGATGCCGAAATCCTCATAGCTTTAGCTATGGTTGTCTTTAAAATAAGGTCTTTTTGATATCGTTGCAAACCGTCTTCTCTAATCCATATAGTGATACTAATGCTAAAATTCAGAGTCGATAAAAATTATATATAGTGGAGAAGAGTTGTAGGCTATCTCTCTTAAAGTCTATCTTGTGCCAATTTGCTTTCTATGAAATGTGTTGGGACATTTTGGAATATATATACTCCTAAATCATGTGGAAGAGATCAGATTAGGAAAGGTTGTTGCAGTCTTTGCAACTGTACAAATAGACACAATATCATTTTTCCAGCTACATCTTACTTTTTCTGTTATCCAAAATGTTTTAAAGAAGGCTACCTATATCCACATCTATAAGTTTGGATAAATTTGGTGAACTTCATCAATTTTTTCCATCAAAACGTTTAAAAAAGTATAAAATACAAAAAAAAGCAAAAAAACCCATTAAAAATAAAAAGGAGTAAAGAAAGGCAGGGGTAAGAAGTGGAAACAAAATGGAACAAAAGCTATACAAAGAAAGTAACTTCCAACTTTCTTTGATACAGATAATGACCTAAATATCTATGACTTTTTAAACTAGAATAATCCATAACCAACAGTAGTTCTATTCACCATAAACAAATTAATCATCAAAACCCAGAACTTCATCAATTTCTGATAAGAAGATTCAAAGAAATTTGATAGCATCTTTTTAGACTTTTAGTGTTACCCTTTAGATTTTTGGTTGCTGTAGCTATTCTCCTACAAGGACAAGATTATGAATGACATTTGGTGACTAAGAATGAATCAATCTCTCAGTTTCAATTTCTGTCCATTTCCTGTTTTCCTGATTCTATAATACCTTCATTTCAGCCTATTTAAATCAATTAATGAATTCATCATGTAAGAAATCTGTATGAGAATTCACATTTTTGTATATTTCTTCTAATATCAACATTGTTATATATATATGCATTTCTTTGTGTTTTGCATGATATTTTTCCTGATAGAATAGAATATATTTTGTGCATTTTTCCCTGTTTTACCCATTACTGGATATTCTTTTTGAATATCCAGTCAGTCTTGACTCTTGGCAACTGCCTGGACAAGTTCCTGCAGTTTTCTTGGCAAGACTTCAGAAATAGTTTGCCATCACCTGCTTCCTGGAGTTGAGAGAGAATGACTGGCCAAGATCACCCAGCTGGTTTTGTGCCAAGGTAGGACTAGAACTCACCATCTCCTGGTTTCTAATCTGGTGCCTTAACTACTACACCAAACTAGTACTCATATGCTTTTTAACATTATTTTAAATTGAGTTGTAAACTCTGGTTTAAAATGTTGAAAAGTGTTAATTTCAGTATACCATACAAGCATGCTTCTGTTCATATATACTTTCAAAGAAATTAGATATATAAATGTATATATAAAAATGAATACAAACAGATTTCTTCTCTATCCATCCCATCACTACTGATTAAAATATGTTGTTTAAAATTGCTGTGGTTTGAATAGATTGACATAGAGCTTTTATGTTTTTGAATCTCACCCATTGTATGTTTCTTGTAAGTTACAAATCTTCTGAAAAGTAGCCAGGTCAAGTATAAACATGACCTTGATTGCAAACAGAGAGCTCATGGGGGCTAAGAAGGAAGCCATGTAAAAGCAATAGTGTGGGATTTTTTTTATTCAGTTTCTTGAACAATAAAGAGATATATCTTTTAGGATAGACTGTCTTTATTTTTCCCCTTGCCTTTACCTTATTCCAATTCTCTTGGATATGGTAGTATTCTGTTGTGATTCATCACATATTTAAAAGTAAGATGATCATTTCAGTATGAATTAAACAATAATGGTATATAGTCAAGTCATTTTACTGCTTAGGTAGATACAAATAAACAAAATATGCAGAAGTGAAAAAGGCCACCAAGATAGCTTGGCTTTGTGTAGGTAGGGATTCAGAATGCACTTATCAGTTGGAGATTCCCGAAACCTTCCTCTCCAGTCCAAAAATGGATATTAAACATTCCTAATCCATTGATGCTGAGACGGAAATTGTCTGATCCATGGATGGAATGTGATTTCATGCAGACCAGATAGAATTATAAACTACCAGGAGGTTAATAGAAAATTTGCAAACTTTAGCTTCTGGTTTGCCATCGCAGACGCCACAGAAACTGGAAGGGGAGCTCCATCTTCCACGTTCGGTTTAGCTCCACTGTGGGACCTTGGAAGGGTCAAAAGTTGCCCTGTAGGGGCGACGAGCAAGGAGGGTACCCCCGTTTGATTGCAGGAGGGCAGTAGCCCTCCAAACTGGTGGAGGAAAAACCGGCCATAGTAATATGGCCTGTCACTAGGCTGCAGACAGGGTCAAGTTTGGTTTAAAATGTTGAAAAGTGTTAATTTCAAGTCAAACTTATCACCAAGCACTTCGAAAGCAACGCAGATGAAACTAGGTGAGATCTGATCTTCTCTTTACCCTAAGTACTTTCTTTTCCTGTAAAATCTGCCTAAAGTATCTTTCCCCCTATGAGGAGAGAGGGAAGGGAATTTCTATCCCACCTTCTAAGAATAGTGGCAACTGACTACCCAGGAGAATTAAAGCACTAAAAGAACAACTTTAATCTAATTGGATTTATATGTTCCTCAAATTTGGGGACAAATTTTTTTCCTATTTTTATTGGAGACTTTTGCTTTTATCTACAAAAAAGAAATAAAATTGGAAAAAGGATTATATAAATTTTGAACTTAAAAAACTTTAAACGGCATTGGTAACATCTTGTGGCGAAGTTTGGTATTACAACTTGTTATTTCCTAAAAGAGACTTGGCTTGAAGCCCAGACCTTAGATAAGACTCTTCTTATCTTTGCACCACCTGTGAAAAACTCAGCTGTAAGAGAACAGCTGGGTGGCATAACTCATCTACTTGAACTGTGAATGTAAACCTTTACTGACTTTCAGAGTTTTATGTGGGGAATTGCCTTCCTATCTCATTTCTTGAGGAA